AAAAGCTTTTTCCATGAAGGCAAAAGGAGGACCAGATAGTGACACAGCATCCTTGATCTAGCCCATGGCCCTCCATTAGATCAACAGTGGAATCTATTCAAGGACTTACATTTCTCCCAGACTGGTACGAAACAAGCAGCACGTACCAGTCCGAGTGCCAATCGATACATGGACCCACCCCGGTCCAGTCCGCCATATAAAGGGGAATGTGGGAAACCATAAATCCCACTTCCATGCTGCCTCCACTTCTCATGCAGCCGTGATCGATGCTGCAACTTCTCACTGCGATCGACGCCTCCGCTTCTCACGCAAGCAACTACTGGCGATCCCCACTTGCCACGACCTCACTGCACACCGCCACACACAATCTTTTGCCCTATTTACTTCTTAGGTATGCCTCTTCTCCTCTCCCTCTTCCTCCTTCCTTCTTCCTCCTCCTCCATCACTTCCTCTTCTTCCCTCTTTTTTCCTCCTTCACTATCCCTTCCTTTTTTTCCCTCTTTTTCTTCCTCTCTAAAACACCGGAACCTACCAGTGTATCATGTGTTAGTACACCAGTACAGACCAACACATAGCGGTCCCACAGATCCCTGAGACAGGTCCGATACTGGAATGTACTTTCTATCGACAGTTCTACTATCCATGCCTGTCAGCAATTGTGCTAGTCATATATTCTATAAATATGCAGGTAACATATAGAATCATGCAAAGAGTTGATATAAAGTCAGGAAAAAGAACAACCAAATAACACTGCCCCACCATAATTTTCAGAAAATTATTTCGTAAACTAAATGTTTCAATATGGTTAGACCTGAACTTAAATCATGAACATCAAATTTTACTCATTTGGTTCATTCTAACAAACTATATTTGTCAAATCATCCAGGACAAAGAATGTTGAAACCACCAAACAAGTGACACACATATGATTTACAAAATAAATAATGAACCTCATCATATAGCAAACTTGAACAGAGAGAGAGAAGCTCAAATCATAACTAGAATAAATTACCTTAGTCATGCCAGTCCTAGGTAGCTGAGCAGTTGTCTTCGAGTGCTGACTAGCACTATTGGAAAATTGGGTACCAATTTTAATGTTTTTAGATCGGTTAGTTGATTTCTTACTGAATCTACCAGCACATGCCACCTGCATCTCCATGCTGCTTTTTGCACGATCTCTATGATCTATGGCATTATTATGAGAATTATTCAACTCTGTTCCATCAATACCAGAGCATCTAATCGATCTTTTCGCTCTGTTCTTTTGCTTCTCCATCAAATGATGCATTATGGACTTTGCAATGTCATCTGGAACGTTTGGGCACTTCTTAACATGGCAAGCACCAGCAAGATGTTTCTTAAGCCTAGATACCCCACCACCATATCTGATTAAGCCACACCAATTGCACATCCAGTGAAACCTATTTCCATCAACTATCTCACCGTGGTTCCACCCGATATCCCTATTCCGATGAGATGTGTCCAAGACCTACATATCCACATATACTATCAATCGGCCTCTTGCATAAACAGAAACAACAAGATTAAAGCATGCATCACGCATGTGATGCTTCATGCAATGTTATAGATAACAATGCCAATGAAAACCAAACAGAATAATATATATTAGAATTTCAGACTAGATGAACTTATTCGATAAGTATGCAAAAAAAGAATAGCATTGATTGGTGACAAAATTAAAGTTACATTAACTTCAATAAAAAAAACCAAGTACCAAACAGTCTAGGAAGGGGCATACGATAAAGACAAATCAAGGTAGTTAACCCTGCTGTTCAGGCATTTTGTCTATGTACCCTTATATCCTTTGCTTTTTCTTCTTCGCTCACTTCCACCATAATTTTTGTCCCCTCTTCTCACCAAATAAGCAAAACCTAAAGTCCCTAGTATCAATAGGAAATAAAGCAGGGAGGTCAAATGGTGGGGAGCCCATACCCTTTGCACAAACATGCTAGCAGACAAGGATGGGTTGCTAGGTGGACCACAACATGACACATATCAAGACATTCAATGGGTTGAAAACCAATAAAAGAAATCAACAGCACAAGATTAGTGTAAGACTAAACTAAGCCTAGAGACCAAAAAGCATATTAATCTGTCAAATTCTGTAAATATACAAATACATTGTAGTTGGCCAAATTCAATAACTATTTATCTGAGAGGAATTCAACTATAGAACATTCAAATTCAGTGAAGCAAGCTTTAGCCTATCAATCCTTCAACACTACTTAGAGGCAAATAGCAAGCTTAAGAGTAAGCTATGTACTCTGAGGCAATTAGGAAACAAGCTGATGTGACCAGATAGCTTCAATATTCTTAAACAAAGTGCACGGAGACCATGTCCAAACTTTTTGGGAACAATGTTCAACCAGTAGTGACTTGAAAACATATCCATTTAATCCTCTGTTAGCAATGCAACACCTATATTACCCTTTTCTGACTTCATCCCTCAGTAAAATATTAAATGATATGTCCTTGTAGCAAATATGTTGCAGAATGCAGACACTGACACAAATGTTCCCGTTAGTGAGTGTCATCAAGTTTTGGTCATTTTTAACTTCAATTAACTGAAAAACTTATTCCAAACATGTCAACGTGTAGATTGAGCAATGGCTACAACAACAGTCCTAGATATGAACACTTTACGCCTTTGAGATGTCCTCTTTACTCAGATGTTGGTACCCCTTAATTTCAGTCTACTGTCTGATATTTCGGACAAACATATTATTATGAGAACTTATGACTAAAACAACAATAATGCTTTGTATTTATGAGCATAGTTGATGCTTTTAAGACAATTCAATAATTTGTCATGATTTGACTCTGTTGTTAGATAAAATCATGAAATACTGTGTTATTAACTTTCTGGTAATTTTGAAATAGACTATATATGTCCATTGGTTAATAGATATTTCTTGTTTTTATATAATTTCATAATGCATATTTTTAATAATAATTTATGTCCCTTTTTGGTCAAATCTCAATCTATAAGTAATACTGAAACTGATCCAAGTTCTAAAGCACCAATCCTGCTCCGTCTCAGTTCCAATCATCTTTCGTATCCCAATTCATTTGCTTAGATGTCCTTTTTATATGGTTGAATCATTTGTCTAACAATCAAAAATAGCTTGTTAGGTTTTGTACTAATCAAGTTGTACCCTCAACATTTTGCGCTTCCTCATCCCTCTCAAGTTTAACTGTTAAAATTCAAAAATTAGTCATACATTGGATTGAACGTCAATTCATTCCAAAAGCTTAAGCTTATTGAGTTGTGGACCAAACCCAGTATATGTAATCCGAGTTTTTCAATCCTTAGCAAAGCAATGTGGGACTACTCTCTTAGTCATCTTTCAATCTCCATCTCTCACACATGAGTAGTTCTTAGCATCTTACAATATTTACAATAGTTGAGACCTTTTTTTTTTCTTTTTCGAACCTTATTTCTATAAAATGTTAAAATCGAACTATGAGCTTGAGTCAAACTAGTCAAATTACATTCATTGCATTTAACACAAATTCAATCCAAATGCTTAGGCTTATTATTAAGTTGTGATTCAAACCCAATATATGTAACCCAACTCTTCCAATCCTTAACAATGTGGAATTATTCTCTCAATCATTTTCCAATCCCTATCTCTCTCACATGAATATTCCTTAACATTGACAACATCAATTTCCATTTCAGCACGAAGTTGAATGTTTTTAGATACAGACATTCAAGATTCTGCTGTCTCCACTGGCTTCACCTCGAAACAATGGCATTCAGACAGATGAGACCGCAAGTCATAGATTACAGTATATTAGTCATCGATTCAGTACTTTATCCTGTCGTCTGTCGACAGAGGGTGGAAAAAGTTTTGATCTTTCTGTTCAACAGGAGGAAGAAACAACAAATCCACCTTACCTGAAGGGCATCCGCATCCGGCATGGCACGCTTCCGCCTCCTGTAAGTAATCAAACCCTCGCCAGGCGATTCTTCCAGCTTAAAGAACTTGCCGCCTTCCAAAGCCATAACCGACGCTTAAAATTTCCCCCCGTGGGCAGCTAGGGTTTCGCTCGACTTCATCACCTCCCAGACGCCGGATCCAGCGACCAACCCCACCACAGGTCGCCAAAGACCAAATTGAAGTTAGCAGAAATCAAGAAAGAGGGTCCGCCGACGGGTAAAAATGCGAAAGATAGGATCTTCCTGAGCTAGGGATCGACGACGACGGCAGGAAAGGGGGAAGAAGACGAAGAAGAGGGTTAGGACAAGAAGCCTATATTTTTGGGTTGGGTGGATTTGAATGTGGTAAACACGGGAGAGAGAGAGAGAGAGCAGGGAGTCAAAGACATGAGAAGCGGGCGGGTGGCCCCACCACGGCAACACAACCTCGAGCGGGGCGAAATATTTGGGTAACTCTTGCAGTCTCTACAAGAAAGAATAAATAATCATGGCCATTTCGTCCCATCGGAGTTCCAATTCCATCATCATCAATTGTGACACACCAACATAAATCCATAGCACAAAGATTATGACCAAAGAATGTGCAATATTCATCTAATGATATCATAGTTTTCTTGATAACAACGTTTTAGGTGATATGATTCATATTTTAATTGGTGATTTGATCCATTTTCTATTTGCTAATGGATGGTTGATATGATAAAGATAATATCATAGTTCATATCAAAGTTAAAAGAAAAGCTTTTTTTGAAGAAATAATTGTTGGCAATGTTAATAATGCCGCAGAAATTGTTATGGCTAATATTTCCTTTAAAAAGGGCACATGTATACATAAAAGAGAAATAATGGTATGATATTTCAGTAATTTCATATATATATATATATATATATATATATATATATTTATTTATTTATTTATTTATTTATTTATTTATATTACATCAAGTTTGTGGCTACCAAAGGAATGACAACGTGACAAATGAACACAATAATAAAAAAACACACATGAATATCTTCATTAGATGAAGGAATTGAAGAATACAAATTTTGATCACCAAACTAAATTAGCACAAAAAATAATTAACTCTCTTATCAGTTCCTCGATCTTCGTTCACAAACAATTGAGAAAATATCAATGATTCCTAAAAATAGGTGAATTCTCAAGCAAGAACTATACACAAAGTGTATAGTTTGCCAAGGAATCAGAAAAAATGAACACTATACAGAAATTGCTTGATGAATGGCTCCTTCCACATTGCAAGTAGTTCTCAATAGAAATGCTCGCGGTTAGAGAAGCAACTTTGTGATCGCTGCTGCTGATCGAGATCGGGTAATCCTAATGTGTGACTAAGGTGGGATTGGATGTCAGATTCTGGGTTTGATACTTCATCATGAAACATAGCTTGCCCATTTAACAGCAGCATCATCTCCTTGGAGTAGTCTTTAAAACCTGCAGTCAAAGAAGCTCATGAAACAAGATAAACTTTGCAATCAGGAGTTTGGAATGGGATGTTTTGATAGCTCAACTTTAAAATGTCCAACTTAGTGAATCCACAGCTGTTTAGTAGCTTAAATGTTGTATTTGAAATGACTTCAATCCACAACTCAACCCCTTATAAACATAGCCAGCTACTATGTCTTTCCCAAGTTCAAGATACCCTTAAATTTGTGCTAGATATAAAGACAGATAGATTACATATACATATTGTAGAATTTAACTGGTAAGAATAAGATCATGAGTTCGGAAAAGGAATTGAGATCTTACAAGTGTTATGTGAGGTCAAATTCGATGAAGCCACCTTACACACAAGGAAGAAGCTATGATCATCCTTTCCACTTGATCACTATTAACTGCTACATCTTGTAAGATTGGCTTTGCCTGCGATTACATGGAGAAAATAAATAAGAGAACCAGAGTTGGATTATCTACAATAGGATTTACCAACAAAATGTATACTCAAATAGATATTACAAAGCTAAATGCGAAGTATTTCCAACAAAATATAATACTTGGAGCTTGAGAAGAACAACACCCAAAACATATACATCGACCTTTTCATTAACTTTGCCATATAAAATGTATTCAGGAGCTAAGTGAGGTTGTCACTTAGGATGTTGATCTAACATTTAGCAAATAAATCGATCTATTGCTGCACAAAGAGGACAGATCCAAAAGTCCCTGCAATGTCACTGCAAATTGGTCGTGATGTTGACGCTGATAACCATTTTGCCAATTCAAAGTCAGGCAACTGAAACAGTTTGAAGAAGAAAAACATGACACACATATTTATAAGAGATGCGATGCAAGAAGCACATCATAGAAGAAACAGGAACTGCAGGCTGAAATCCTCAGAGAGAAGCATGTTTGAGGACTTTACATCACTATGGATCACAGGATCAATGCTATTGCCACCTTGAATCTTTCAGGCCAACTGAGAAAATGCTTGTTCTATTTGTCACCTAACAAATAAATATTAGGAGACGAGACATGACTTAGACAAAGTGAATCAAATGAATAGAAAAATTAGCAACTCATGTTTGCAAAATGCATACCATGGAGGATTTGTTCTAAGCTATCCCTTGATACATAGCCATAGACCAATATTAAACAGTTATTCTCAAAACAAAACCTGAGCAGCGAAATAATGTTTTTGTGATGCAAGGGTAGTGGCAATCTCAATCTCTGAAACAGAACTCTTTTGTTGCATCTTCAGAGGGCTTCAAGATTTTTAAAGCCAATTCCTTGCCATCTGAAAGACTGGCATTAGAAACACTGCTAATTCTTCCCTTCCCAATCAGAAACCAGCATTGAGAACTTGATTAACATAAGAAATGTTCATGAATTAAACACGATTAGCATGACAAAATTTCAGAAATAACTGCGTGAGAAGTTGGATGTTGATCATGTGAGTTCCATGCAGCTGAAAAATCTGCAAACAGATAAATGCTTCTAATGGAGAGACTTCAACTCAAAAGACAGCCCCCTGTGGTGGTGAATCAGATCCAACCGGAACAATGGCCCTGCTGCTCTCTCCATATCGTTTTTGTGTAATACTTCGATCCAACTTCCTAGAATTGTAACCCATTGGACTAAAGAGATCTCGTGCTTCTCCATGGAAACAGTCTTCCTGCTTGTTAGGACCGGGCTTCTAAGAGAAGACCAACCAGGTTGAGATTCCGGCATATCCTTGACCATAATAGGCACAGAGCTATTCTGTGGAGCTTCACAGATCTCTCCAATGGCACCAAGGCCGATGACTCTTCGTCCTTCAACGTATTCAAGAGAGCAGAATCCGATTCAGGCGCAGCTATCGAACAGTTGCTTCTTAGCGAGCTGTTAACGACGGTGGGTGAGTTGTTCTCATCAGTTCAGGTGCTACGACCATTCAACTCATTTCTTGGCAGAATAGTTAGCTACAGAGACCAACAAAGAAAGATCTGAGAGAGGCCGAAGTACCTCAAAATAGTGAATCTTTGGCAAAAGCAGTCTCCAGCACAGAACTTAGAGAAACCAGTGAAACATTCTACGGCGTAGCTGTTCTCAGCGACCCCAAGAACGAGTTATGACACTGCGAAAGCTCTCCTCTCTCGCGTCAGAACCGTACGGACGGTGGAACGCTTGCAAAAAGTTCAGCTTTCGGTCGATCAACCGGGGAAATCGACGAGATCGATGAAGGTCCAGCTTTGAGCATAAAGACTGGATTTTGAGGTGCGGGAAAGGGGCCTGCTGAAGGTCGCAGAAGCCCTCGTAGACGGCGAGCATGGCGCCCAAGTCCTTGGCGAGAGAGAACAACGCAGGCGGCTGACCGCCAGAATCCTTGCACGCTGAAGATGGCGACGAGGAGACAGGACGCGGAGGACGACGACACTACCGCCAGGGTAGCGAGGGCTTCTCGGCTCTGCGAGTCCACTCTAAGGCCGACCACCACTGCCTTCCCTCCTCCTCCTCCTCGTCCCCCTCAAAGCTCTCTCTCTCTCCGTCATTACTTCATACGCTCTTAGTTATGGATAATATATGATTAATAATAAGATTATATGATGTTGAAATTGATGACTACGAATCAAATCGGTCAAAATTAATAAATGTTATGATCGGACAAAGCATATATCATCCAACTTCTTTGGATCGATTCAAGCGTCTAAGATTTGGCACCAATTTCCTATGAAAATTTAAGCCTTGTATTATCCAACTCTTTTTTTATTTTTTCAATAATATATTGTTTTTTTTATTCTCTCTGAATCTCTCTACAAACAACTCAATGTATCTTTTAATTCTTTGATCTCTTTAGCAATGTGTGATCATTATTTATCTATCAACTAAATTTTCTTGATAAAAATAAAATCTTAAATTAATGTGTATAATAGTTTGTAAAATTTTTAAGAGCATTATCTTTAAAAAAACAACGTTAGTGTTGAACTTTTACTTCAAAAAATAATATCTAACTCTCTTTTTTTACATCAAATTGACAAAAATATATCTTCATTTTCATCAGTAATCTTCGATCGTCGTCGTCATCGCTTTCATCATCCTTAGCTCTCATCTCTAGAGGTGTCATTCTTTTTTTTTTCCTCTCTTCTCGTCTCATTAACTTTTTAATATAAAATATCTAAAATTTAAAATAAATTTTAATTTATTAAAAATTATAAATTTATCAAAAGAAATGAAGAATGGCAACATGCTTTTCATATAACCAAATGAAATGAAGTCAGGACAATGGCTTCTGCATCTGTTTCTCCTACAGTTTTGTCATCATCTTTTCAGTAAGCAGACTAGTAATCTAAGAACATGAACAATAGATATATTTTGAGAAAACCTTTAATTTCAAATACATCAAATAAAGAACCATTTTCCAACCTCTTTTCAGGTTTATAATTACCTATCATTTACAGCAGAAAAATGAGCTGTTCGTTCTCTATGAACTCCAACATTAATCTCTGCTTCGGCATGACCTGTTGACGAGATCGCCATGGATCTCTGCATGTATGCTTCTCAGAATAAATGCAGTGTGTTGGTCAGCCAAACATTGAACCTGCCTGTAATACGATTCTAAAGGACGATAATAATTGCCACAAGTGATAGCAATAAGTGAAGAGTGAGAATGAGAGAGAGAGGAGAGGAGAGGAAAGAACAACTCCAGTTATAAATGCCGTGTACGACGACGACTCACTGCCTGACTCGAGTCACGACCGCACGTCCAGTGCTGGTCGTCTCTTAGATCGTGAGTAACTGCGTCTCCTTTCCATGGCCCAGCTTTTTTCTTTGTGAAGACATATTCAATTAATTAGATGTGGAGCCTAAGATATTGATTTCCCTAAGAAAAATAGAATTATCTTTACATAAATCATGAAAAAACTCACGGCCCAGATTATTGATCTAGAAGGTGTTAGATCAATAATATTGCATTGGAAATATATCTGATAAGATTACTTTGATATTTAAGTTAGTAGAGATAAAATAATTTAATTAAATATTGAGTCTAGAAAAACAATAATTAGCTATAGAATTTTTAAAGCATGGTGTAATAATCTAACCAACAATGAGATATGAAGTAACTATTTGTTGAGTCAATTTTCTCGTCTAACACTATGTGGTCAATTTTGGAAAACCCTGTAAACTCCTCATCGATATTACATTATTTTTGTTTTGTGATATGTCTATTGGGTAAAGTTAGAATATCGATCAACCATATGTTAACAAAGGTGTATACTTATATGATTTCAAATCCTTCATGAATTTTAATTATTAATTAGATAATTTATCGTAACACCTTCCGAATGAATAAACTTATATATTTGATAAATTCTCGCAAAGTATTCTAATTTTTTTTAAAATTTATAAAACATCTTTTATTATTTTAAAAAATAATTTTACTCTTGATCCCGTCGAACTCATCTCCATCTTGCAATGTTATTATACTGTCTTCACCATCTCAAACCTCGTTGAATCTCACTCTACTAATCTCACCCTTACGCAAGAAAGGAAGGGTCGCAGAGGATTTAGCTACTCTCGTATCACTTATTTTCTGTAATAAGCAAGACTATAAAGACGTGATTAACATGATTATAAGTTCGATAGTACTGGAAAGACGATGACAATAGGAGATAAAAAGATAAAATTATTATCTAAACTCTTCGATAATTTCTTAAAGATAAGATATTTCTAAAAGAGAAATCATCTAAAATATATTATAGTACCTTAGTGGCATTATTATGGCGTGAAGGTAGTAATAAAAAAAAAGAAAGATATATTATATATTCCTCTTACCTCAGTGAAGAAGCCATTACTGGGTATGTACGGGGAAGCCACGTGATGGGCCCCAAGCATCATCTCATCCATGTGATGCCTTCTCATGCATCACTAGGACGGATACAGTGGTCTCCTCCACGAGCCCCCTATGATGTTGATCTCGTACTTTAAATGTCGTACCATCTCATCAGCGACATCCTTAAAGCAAGGGATGTCAAGATCGTCTGTCTCAGTCCAGGCACGAGACACTAACACACCCTTTCCGAACTCCCTATGCTTTCCCTCTCCCTTTCGCGAGCGCTTAAACCAGAGGGCGGTTTCAGTACTTCCCCCGAAAGTTCCTTCCTTTACAAGCCCAGGATGGAAAGCTCGCCTCTTTATCTCCGTTTGCTCTCTCCCCATTCCCTCTCCCACCACTTGCCGATCTCCGATCTCTTCTTGTTGTTGTTCTTGTGGTGGTGGTTGGAGGGTGAGAGGAGAAGGAGGAGGAGGAGGAGGAGGAGGATATGGGGCGAGGGAAGATTGAGATCAAGCGGATCGAGAACTCAACCAACCGGCAGGTGACCTTCTCCAAGCGGCGCAACGGGATCATCAAGAAGGCCAGGGAGATCAGCATCCTGTGCGAGGCCCAGGTTTCCGTCGTCATCTTCTCCAGCTCCGGCAAGATGTCGGAGTACTGCAGCCCCGCTGCCACGTGAGCGTGTTTCTTCTCTTTCTCTCTCTCTCTCTCTATATATATTTTTTATCTTTCCCATTTTTCTTGTTGGATTTCGGAGTATTGACGGTGCTGCTGGTGAATCGGTGGAAGGTTGCCGAAAATCTTGGAGAGGTACCAGCAGAACTCCGGGAGGAAGCTCTGGGATGCCAAGCATGAGGTAGCTCTTCGCAAAATCTCGTCTTTCACGGTGCTTTGTCTTTAAAAACCTATGTTTCAAAGTGATTTCAAGGCGGAGTTCTCCTTTCGGAAATCTCGTCTTGCTCCCAGAAAAGCTTCTTCTTCTTTCCTTTTTGATGAAGCCAAGTGATCAAAAATGGGAACTTTAGGGAGTTGCTCACCAGTTTACGGGTGTGTATGGCAGAGTCTGAGTGCTGAGATCGATCGGATTAAGAAAGAGAACGACAACATGCAGATCGAGTTGAGGTATGTTGTGCCATCTCATAGTTTCTCTCAATAGAAGAATTTGGTGGTTTTTTTTATTTTGGCTTTTGTTTGTGGATGATTAGGCATCTGAAGGGTGAGGATCTCAACTCACTCAACCCCAAGGAGCTGATCCCTATCGAAGATGCCCTCCAGATTGGGCTCACCAGCGTGAGGGATAAGCAAGTGAGATCCCTTCTTTTTATTCAATTGACCTGTGCAACCAAGATGGTTGCTGTGATGCTACTGATGAGCTGTGTTCCTTTTGTAGATGGAGATCTGGAAGTTGCACAAGAAGAATGTAAAGTTTCATTGATCATTTGATTAATTTATGGACTTCCATTTCTCCTCCAATCCATAATTTCCACACTATGTGCAGGAAAGGTTGCTTGAGGAGGAGAACAAACAACTTACTTATATGTTGGTAATACTCTTATCAGATGATCTTTACGTTTCAGATACCATCTATCTATATATATATATACATATGTCAGGATTTACTTTGAGATTTGGTTATCCACAAATCAACTCTTTGTGCTGGAATTCCATCATTCCATAACTCACTTTTTTTAGAGGCGCGAGTGCATTAGACCATGTTCGTCGATATGATTTAAACATACTGAGCTGAGAAAGTAAGGATGTTTTTTTCTTGTAATCCTCCCAGATGCATAAATTATATTGAACACATGGGACTTGAACCATCTCTGTTTATATAATTTGCTGAAGAAAAAGAAAATCTCTTGTTATATCTTGTGCAGTTCAATTTGGTGAAATATTTAGATATCAGAATGGTCCTGGTTACTGCAGCTTGGAACATTTTACTGATTTTGGGAATGAGCTTATTGCATTTTTCGGACTTCACTTAAAATTCATTGCATTTCATATGTGAAAATAATTCTCCTATTTCTCCTTGATCTTCATAAATTTAGCATCACCAGCAACTGGCGATGGATGGAAATGTCCGAGAACTGGAGATTGGGTATCACCAGAAAGGCAGGGAGTTTGCCCCCCACATGACGACGATGGCCTTTCATGTGCAACCGATCCAACCCAACTTGCAGGAAAATAAATGATGATAAGATCTAGTCATTTGTCAGTTGATCCGGTTGCTGCTATATTATCTGTAGAAGAACTATCTTTCCTTGTTCTCTTTAACATGGCCTCTTTCTCACTGTGTCCGAACTATTATGCTACCGAATGCTTGCCATAAAACTTTACCAGATAAAAGTTATTACTTTTTGATATGGCAATGTGGCTTATGTAACTCATCATGCTGCACTTTTGTTGATTCATGATGTTGTTTCTTGGTAATCTGGATATCTGCCTGATAGTATTTATTAGAAACTAGAAATGAAACTTCTGTTTTCAGCTCTCTTAATCAAGATCCCTTGGTGAGCTTTTTTTGTGCTCATTTCTTTTTTATGCTTGTAGATCCTATCTGAGATCTGAACAGTTACGGTGACAGTGATACATAACAGCTTGATGTTGCTTTAAAGCAAAGGAGAGGAGAGATTAAACTAATTCTCTTTGCACAATATAACCTTGAAGAAGGAACTAATTTTATGCAGAATCCACAATCAATATGATTCAAGCATGTTGGTGCCAAACCCCAACATCAAAATTTATGCTGAAAGGTTGTTATTGAGGGTGACATCTTTTGTGTGCCACAATTAAGAGACGTATGTCTTGAGAGTTATCTCTTACCTGATATAATAAGCATGTGATGCTTGTGCACTTCAAGCTTTTTTTTAGATGAACAATGAATGTGGTGGAAGTTTCTCTCTCTCTGTGCCCTGAAAATGCTCATCCTGGAGACTGGCTCAAGATGATGAACACCCCAAATGCAACCAGCATCTTGGTGATGAAGATGGTTTTCAAAATTCTCTCCGATCAAGAAGGAAGTGAGCCTCCTGAGTAGCCATGGCTGCTGATGTGCTGCAACTAAGCGGAAATGCTGAGAAAAGTCATCCATGCCAGGTTTTCTCCCTCTGCTGCTGGTGCTGCTCCATAGCCAAAGCAGTCACCAGGCCAAGCAAAGAGACTGTAATTGTCCTGTGTGATCTCTGTGCCTTGATTCCTGTAAGAATTGAAGTGTCAGTTGTTTGTAGTCCATGAAGAATCCTGCCTTGATCTTTGTATATAACAGTATAATTTGTTACATAGCTTATGCACATGAATCTGCAGCTAATTCAACTTCATTTTCTGCACCAAGTGATGTCTGATGCTTTGCAGTATATCTTTCTGAGGCGAGCAAAATTGCATTCCCTGCTAGTAGCAGGTGGTAGATTGCCTCACCGTTTGCTGAGTTACTTTATGCATCATCATCACCTTCATTTTGTTTTAGCAAAAGAGGGTGGCTTCCATCTCCATTCTACCTAACATCATCACTTGGACTCACAAAGAACACAAAGTACATTACTAGGAAATCAATATGGATCATACAAATATCAATTAATTGGACAACAATTATTCAAAATCACTAACAAGATGAATTCTTCTATAATTTGCCTATTTTGCAGACTAACAGGAACTAAACACATTGAAGGAGTGATTATAGAACAATTAGAGTAAGCTTAAGCTTTCGATAAAGAGTATAAATCAAGTTTTTTGCATCTAATAATTCAATATTGCAAAAGGTGTACTATAAAACCTAGAATTTGCCTTGTAGTTGCTACATGTCTTTCCTTGTATTGATCATAGAAATCTATGAATGCCATATACTTTTTGGGAGTCAGATGAAGTTGAGTGTTCTCATTGAACGGATGGGTAAATGTACTCCAATTCTTTGCAACATGTGCATTTCTATGGTGATCTCAAAATACATTTCCTACTAAAGATTCATTGGTGGTTTGCCAGCCAAATTTTCTCTTAGTTGACACATCAAAAGAAACCTGAGGATCCATCATTTAATGATGAAGAACCTGTTCTCAATACTTTGAACTATTTTATTCACTGAGAAGAATAACACCCTAAGATAAGAAGGAAAGGAGCGTCATTTATCACATATTTATGGGGCATATAACTACATTTCAGTGTCAGCAATACAGTTCTTGTTTTACAGTGGATCATGCCCTGTGAATGGCTGTAACGTTGCTCAAGGTCTGTTCTTACACAGAGAGAGAGAGAGAGAGAGAGAGAGCTTTCATGGTGCGCCTGTTGAAGGGAAGGCAGAGTATGCCGCCTTCATGGTGTGACTCCTTTTTCTTGTTTCTTTGAGATGCGTGCGTTGGCTTACTAGCTTCTTGTAGATTCGTGGCGGACGGTGGAAATCCGGCTCAACATGTCCGGCCCGAAGGCTTCTATGCCGGTCCAACCCAGTTCGCCTCGCGGTCCAGGCACGCATCGTAAAGCCTCGATGAATGGAAGCACCCATCTCAAAGCGTGACGGGCCTGCGCCCTTCATTTGTTTCCCCTTCTCGATCTTTCTCGCCCATGGCTTTCCAACCCGTAGAAACGAACTTACAGTGAGAGGAGAGTGGTAGCGAGGAGGAGGAGGCGGTGGGGATGTCGAAGAGCTTGGTGCAGCCCATTGGGCAGAAGCGGCTGACGGCCATCGCGATCGTCCGCCTCAAGAAGCACGGCGTCCGGTTCGAGATCGCCTGCTACAACAACAAGGTCCTTTCCGGGCGATCGAGGGTGTAAGCAACCTACCCTCCTCCCTAACAACGATCAAAGGGCCTAACTCAAGATTCAAGAATCGCCTCGTAGTTTGATTTTGTTGGCGCTCTATCTGCTGCTTAAAGATTTTGGGAAGATTCCTGTTCTATTGATTTAATGTTTAGTCTTTAATATTCGCGTTCAAATCCTTGGTTATAAGAGAACTTCCATATGGGTTTGCTTGAGCTATTGTCTCTACCCAACTCAGTTAGATGTTTGCTTGAACCTCTGTCTGTGTGTTAGCATTAGCACTTGGACGATGTTTGCTTGTGTGCTTGATTCAGAGAGAAGGATTTGGATGAATTGCTGCAGTCGCACACTGTTTATTCGAACGTGTCGAAAGGTTGGTTGCGGATTTTGGCGCTAATGACCGATCCAAAATATGCCTGGAGGTAAGCTTGGTGCTTATACTAGCTTGAGATTGTATCTTGTTTCCTTCTAATCGTGTTATAGGAGATGCAATTCTAAAAAATATCATACTTCTGTTAGTATAGTTTATTTTTTGTGGTAAGTTTTCCCTTTGTTTGGTATGAGAAATTATGCTTCACAAGTGATAGATAACTAGATTTTTTTCTACATGATGGAGATAGGCATGCTCGTAACCCATAAGCTCAAGATTCAAGACAATCCAATGACAAAAGAAATTTGTTTGTTCAATTGGCTCAGTAGCTTGTCACTTCCAGATACTTTTAGTTTTACTTAAGGTAGATATATCTACTGAACAACTACTTCTTTGTTCTTAAGTGAGTCCCTCCCTTTTTTAACCTTGCCTTGGCTAGAAAATGATACGAGTTTTAGAGGTTTGACAGTAGGGTGGTAGTATGTTTAATGAAGCCTTCTTGATTTTGAATTATACTATGTGGGCAACCTCACACCAAAAGGAAAATGGTGTGGATCATGTTGTTTTATTATTTTCTTGTATGCCTATCTCTACCCATATTATTGACATAAGATCTGCCTTTATTCTAAGCTCATTGAAAGCTATTGGCTAAATGTTTTGGAAGGATAGGAACCATATTGCAAGATTCTTCCATTTAGTATTTTAAACTTTTCTTTTCTGACCTAGCTTTAGAAGTTACTAAAAGACAAATTTCTGGGCAAGGCGTTTACAGCTTCGACCTTGTTATTTACTACCTTTTGGTGGGTACAAGATAATCAACCTTCATAAAATCTTAATTTCATGTCAAATTTGCAAATTTCAATTCAATTATCTAGATTGTTAGCATAGGTTTTTGCTAATCCTAATGGATTCTTAGTGGATTTCTTTAGGTGATGGTAACTTCTCTATGGATTTTCTTAGGTGATGATAATTTTTCTATTTCCCATCTGCAGATTTCAGTTAAATAAACATGATGCCTCCAAGTTTCTTGCTTCATTTCAGCCTCAAAATGTTTGATGGAAATTTCCAATTCCATACCTTTTATATGCAGGATACTTATTTATGTGTATTAACCTGATCAGGCATAGAAATTCTAGCTTTTATGAATTGTGGCAGTTCTCACAGAGCTGTTAGGTTTCAGACAAAGGAGAGCTTCAAGTTGCTGGGAAGGAAAGAGAGTCTCAGCTATCAAGTTGGTTCTGGGATATTGCAAGTTTGCAGCTATTGTAATGCAGGAAACTATCGATCCAGAAACTTAACGTCCTTATACAATCACCATGGTAGAATTACTTATGCATGGCATACATATTATAGCAGATTCTAATAAAAGCTTGAAAAAACAGGTATGTACTTGCCATTAGAGAACTTGTTTTATAATGGTTCTAGTTTTTCTAGTCTGTTTTTTGGCAAATATGATGGGAGTTTCTGCTGTCTAAGTGTGTTTTACTGCTTGCTGTTCTGTGATGTTTAACAGCTGAGGATAAGTCTTATGCTTGCGTAAGATCTTTCTCCATAGCAATTACGTTTTGATCTAATAATGTTGTACCATAGTGGAAAAGATCCTTTCAGTGGTCCATTGCAGCAGAGCTGATATCATTTCTTAGCCAAACAACTAGATTAATTCTTTAAGAGTATGGAATCTCTTGTCTAGGTACTTAGTAGGTATATAATAAAGAAAAACTTCTCGAGCTTTGAAAACATTTGAAAACTGTTAAAAAATAGGAAAATTATGACATTTTCTAGGAAATAAAATTTTAGGATGTGTCATATCACCTGGATGTCAGATATGATAGAATTAAAACGAATAATTTTATTTCTTGTATAAGGAGCTTGCCAATAAGAGATCCCCTATGCAATTGCAGCTTATTGTACTTGAGAAAAATATTCCTATTCTCATCAAGAAACTCAATTGTGGTAATGCTAATATTACTTCAAAGGATGAGTCTGGTAGTCACCCACCCATTGTAAGTCTTTAAGTGTTGGAGAAATGCAAACCCATGATTAGGTTTGTATTTTTCTTTACAACTAAATTTATTTACGCCAAATTTTCTTTGTAAAATGGAAAGCATAGCTCTCATTACTATGGGGTATAGGAAGGGGCAACGTATGAAGTTTTACCCTTTCAAGTTGAGAAATTGTTGTTTTTACTTGAATTTTGATCATGTAGGTTGTCAAGCACTCCTTCCCATGCTTTTCTAGATGTTAGACTCATGAATAAACTATTGCCGTGTTAAAATTAACCAAGATACCGAAGATCCGTTTGAAAGATGACTCATGATAGCAACAAGTCTTAAAGTTTTTCATTGCAGCGGGAATTCTTATTTGTTTAGCAATGCTGCTGCTGCCACAGTAGATGTTGCATTTTCCTGTTTCATGATGTTCATGTTCTTCATACAATGAAACCCCCTTCTATTGAATGCATCCCATGTTTAAGCTGGCTCCATTTTTTTATTTGTTGATAAAGTTGGTAGCAGATTTAATGAGAAATCCTTGATTTGCATGAAAAGATATTTCTGGGAAGTGGAAGAATACCATCAGACTTATCACAAATAGAAATCAGTAACTGTTGCAAAAACAATATAAAAAAATTTGATCATATAAGTTAGGTTAAGGTTTATAATCAGAAGTATATACTAGCTATCAGATCTGGGATGCTGACGATATGTTAGATTAATTGTGTAGTTTTGAGATTGTTTCAAGTGATCAGAATAGAATGGGCAGATAGACAAACATTGGTAGATGATGTAGCATCAGATTTGGAAAAATCTTAACTTGGATGCTGCATTCAGGCCTCATGTTGAGTTTAGCTTACAAAGCCAACCAACATAATTCAATGAAGACTTTGTTAAACTTATTTGCGGCACATGATTGAGGACAACTAACCAAATCTTGAGCTTGTAATTGTAATATTCACCAATTGTTGTGCAGGCTTGTGAGATGGAACCAGGTCTTTCTCATGATTGTGATGCTGTCATGAGGAACTCGCATGGGAGGTTGAAAGTACTTGGTTGTTTCAGAGCAAATGGACTAAACTCCTTTGTGTTTTCGAAGTTTATATGTTTCATGAGAACAAATTCTTTGCTTGTAAATATTATATTGACCTACATTGTTTCATCAAGTGTATATTACATTGCGCTTTAATATTGTTTTGGTGTGCTCTCTCTTTCATTGAGCTCTTTGTTCGTCCTTGCGAATATAACAGGGGCAAAAAGCTGGTCTCGTGATTGGGGCCACGCCATTGTATCGTAACTTCAATCGGGACGTGAGTCGCGGGTTTGAGGTTGGACTCGGGCTCACATGCATGGAGGACAGTGTCGGTCCCGCACACATTGAGGAGGACGGTGTCGGTCGTGTTGTGTTTGTTACTCACCTAATATGCTCAAGACAATGATTACTGATACGCCAACCCAACCTTAACCATGGTTAATAGTGGCTTTATCCAACCTACTTATTTTTAAACCATTATATATATATATATATATGTATATTCTTTCAACATTTCAAAGAATATATATATATATATATATATATATATTACTGATACAAATATTGAAGGGGTCTTCTCCAAAACATCCCCCACATAATTCTAGTGATCACAGATCAAACTAATTTTGGTCGGTCTTAAAAGTAGTAAGCACAAGATTAAATCAAACCTCAATGCTTCATCCATATATGACAATTACAGACAAATCCCAGGGGGTTGTAATAACATCATCATCATCATCAAATCCATGTGATTAGCTTACAGAAATCACAGGCAATAAAAATTGTACAAGAGAACAGAAAAAAGACCATAAGCATTTGCGTATGCAGTCACCTTCTCACTGCACACTCTAACACCTGTTCTTCCATGGGGTGGTGAGGCGTCTTCTCCGCGCTCACGGCGTCGTTCTTTGGAGGCTTCTCTCCGTTCATCTCCACCATCTTGCCATCGGCGTCGCCGCCTCCCTTGTTCTTCCTGTAGACCGCGTACAGCACCAGCTGCATCGCCCCCAACGCGCTGCCGCACCCATTCGGCACCTGTTCGACAGAATTCCCGAGCATGACGATGATAGCCGGATTCACTAACAGTCCTCCATGATCGAAGGAATTACCGTCACAAATGGATCATGGCCAAGCAATCCGTAGATGAACCACAATGTGCCCGACACGAACACGAACAAGGAGAGCAGGAATGGCATGTACTCCACGCTTTTGGTCCTGATCACCAATCTCTGCGCACGGAGTAAGAAGCCTAAACAACAGTGTCTATGGCATGGAGGAGGGAGGAGAGGAAGGGACGCTTACTGACCATGATGGACAGGGGCGAGGCGTACATGCAGATGGAGAAGAAGGTGGCGGCGACGCCACAGAAGACCTTGCGGTCCTGGCCACGAAGGGCGAGCAGGGAGACGAGAGCGATGACGGCGAAGATGGAGAGCACCAACGCAAACAGCCCCGCCATGCGAGCCCTCACCTTCTTGGGAGCAAACGAGAGGAAGATGATCACGTACACCGCCTCGATGGCTGCCCCGGTGCCGTTGATCGTCGACACCAGGATGTTGTTTGGTGACACGAATGGCAATCCATACCTTCACAGTAATGTCAGCCATGCTTACAAGCATTGAAGAAGAAGAAGATGATGATGAAGAAGAAGAGAATGCATACCAAGCAAAGAGGAGGCAATTGAGGAAGGTCACGTTGTAGGGAACACCTGAGAAGTCCTCGGTCGATCGTTTCCTGACGATCCTCCGGAACGTGACACTACAGGATAACATTTTGCCGAAGAATTCCTCATCAAATCTCAGCAATCACAAGGAGAAGGAAGAGAGAACAGAGGGGAGAACGCAAAGAACTCACACTGGAGATAAGAACAGGAAAAGAGCAGTGGCATTACCTGCTCAAATACCACAAAGAAATCACTCAGATGCATGATAATAGCAGTAGCAGAAAAGGAGTGAAAGAGAAACACAGAGGAAGCAGACCACCCACCAAAGATGCCAAACAGAAACTTCAACACCTCCATCTCCTGCAGAGAAACTACGCGGGAATCCTCCAAAGAGCAGCTCAAATTACCCCTCGTCGAATGATCAAACACCTTCTACAGATCTATTAGGGCTCTCGTGGTGGGTGCTCGAGTGTGGTATATATAGGTAGAGCGTGCCATTTAGTTCGTTCTTATCTACTCACCACCTCAATAAACGGTTTGACTCTCTCTCACAGAAATCTTACGACAGTAATTGTAGATATCCGTGTTGGTGAAGAGGAGAAATGTTCACCTTCTGCACTGTTCAGAATGTGAGAGGACGAGCAAAGGTGGACAAACGCTGCCTACTGCAGGGAGCAAAAAAGTGCAGCTTTTGCCGTGACTACTTGTCGGCTACCAGCAACAAAAAGCGTGACCCAACAGCACAGAGCAGTGTGCAGCAACGAAGGCAAGCCATTGGGAATCCAACACGGTAGGGTTTTGCCAGTTTGGACGACATCCATATATATCCATGGAGGAGCTCTCTCTCATGGCGGATTAATGTCCCTGTGCATGCATGAACCGAATATGGTGTCTCCAAAAGGCTTCACAAGGCATTCCTAATCCATCTCTTCACCATGACCGCTTTGCACTTGAGACAGCGGCTGGGACATAAAGCTGAAAGCTCACGGACCTTCCTGTATCAGAAGGTCACAGCCATGCAAGGGGAAAACGTGGGGTTTGCGGGGGTCGATCAAGGAAGGTGAGAGCAGCATGAGGATGCAAATGCTGCATCATTTAGCTTCTCTTTGCTGTGATGCTTTTTGGAAGTCACCTTCGTGTGCTGCTGCAGCATGCAAGTTGTAACACCTCGTTGTGCAGCTGCAGAAAGATGTTGGGTCTCGTACATGCACAACCAGCAGCAGTTCAACAGGAGTATGAACTCTCAGCAAATTTGTGCTACCCTACAGCTCATGGTATGCATCACCGAAGCCATAACATCTCAATTACAGCTTCACGAACTAAGTTTCATTCGAGAAAATGAAATTGCAGCAAATTTGTGCTCATGGGAGCCATCAAGAAAGCCATAACATGTCGATTACAGCTTCACGAACTACAAGTTTCATTCGAGAAAATGAAATTGCAGCAAATTTGTGCTCATGGGAGCCATCAAGAAAGCCATAACATGTCGATTACAGCTTCATGAACTACAAGTTTCATTCGAGAGAATGAAGTTGCAGCAAATTAATTTGTGCCACCCTACAGCTCGTGGTAGGCATCACCAAAGCCATCATATGTCAATTATTGATGTCCTTTCCAGCTCTCTCTTTAATGCTCTGTCCGAGTTCGATGGTTTGGAGATTGTCACTGTGGAGGTCTCTGGTAGCTCCTACCACATGCCCCCATAACCCTCTTTGGAATGGCCGACTGATTGCAACTTGATGATGGTCACTGTTGGTGATATCAGTCTCTTAATTCCAAAGAATTTTACTGTCATGGTATCTAATTGTAAGGTCGATCAGTATTTTTGGATTTTTGGAGTTAATATGTTTGAATATACAGAACTCTTTAATTTAATGGGATGTGAGATTTTTGTATACTCCTAATTTTTTGTTAGTAGATCGAGCGAGATGACGAATGAAATTATTATAAAGGGATTTATGTCTTCACCAATCTTACTGTGAGCACTGCAATGTGTCAGCCGAGGTTTGAGATCTGCACGAGTCCTACTTGTCTTTCTCTATCACCTTCAGCTAGGTTGCATCACTAGCCATGCTTTGTAAAGAAGACACATGTGTGCTTCTTCCCATCGACACAGAGTGCATGTTTCGATCTCATGCATTCGATCAATCGACGGGCGGACCAGCATTTAGAGATTGAAGTGGAAGAAGACAAACTCGAACACAGAGTGCTACACGGTGGAAGAGCTTGAAGAGGAAGAGGTGCCATGACCGCATGCAATAGATAGACATTGAGCATCCAAGAACACTGTTTAGACATTCAGATTGCAATGTGTTTATTAGGATCCACGATGTAGAAGTGTTTGCTACTTCAATCAATGGATGCAACATGTATAATTATGGATGATCTCTTAAGATCATTTTTATGTACCTTGTTCCCTTGAGGGTGTTTTCATTCAGGAAATCAATTTACTCTAATCATGTTACAGACATCAGTAAACTCAAGTTGTTGAGCAGACTATAACAAAGCCAAATGAACAGAAGCTCGCAGCTCACTAACCCTTTGTCAGTTTAGCAACATTAGCAGTTGCATCAATCGATGATCATTTCAAAGGTTAATCTCATGTATCAAATAGTTACAGTGTTCACAAAACATAGGAGCTAACTGTGTCAAAATGAATTCTTATTGGAATCAAAATGAAGTGGCACATGAGCAAACATTGAAGGTGTTCAGATAGAAACCTAGAATTCCAACGCTATCAAGCTTAAATGTTGCATGCTGTTTCAGAATACATTGCTCCGATATCAAGAAAACCAGACATGTAAGCATTGCAGATCAAGTTAGGATCCAAGAACAAGCATCCCAAAAGTAAATATCAGTGTGGCAAAGGCAAGTGAAGACAGTATTCAGCTAACTCTGCATTCACCAATGGCTTCCCTGACTCCCATCAAGAAATAAATGCATCTTTGTTTAGTAGAGTACAATCCAAATCTTAGTTTATTTTATTTGGATCATATTAAGTTATTAGCTTTTGTTTGAAAGAATGCTGATCTTGTGGTCCTTTAAGACAATGTGCAAGCTTGCTTCTCAGGAGGAAGAAGCTGATCTGAACTATCGAACCTGACTGATACTGCCATATGCTTCTTTAATTAATGAAATCTTCATTTATCTGGACTCGATTGCTTAACTATAAAAATAATTATTTGTCTTTCAAAATATTCAAACAATCTTCTCATATGAAGAGAGAGAGAGAGAGAGAGAGAGAGAGAGAGAAGACACCTGGAGTTCTCACTCACAAAGTCTACAAGTTCAAACAATAAAATTCCCCACAAAAGAAGGTGGAGAACATGGAAAGCAATTTGAATAGAACTCATTTGGGTCAGAATAAAAACCTCTGCGTTTTACCAAGTTCTTAACATATTTTTCCTCCAACACTTAGGAATCACTTCTCACACACTCGTCTCTTTCTTAAGAGCTCCTACAAAGAAAACTTTGGAATGTTCTTCTCTTGAACCAATTTGGAGAGCAATGAAGATGGTGTCAAGCTTTTCATGAGCAAAGCACAGCACTCAACAACTCCTTTCGAACCTCATCCAATGGCTTATGCATGAAATTGGAGTTTGTGCCCACTTCTCCTCTCCAACTTCTTCAACATTTTTACTTCACTGAGACAAATCATTAGCTTGAATTGTAGGAATCGTTGGTCTGTCTCCTTGTAAGGACACAGGATTTCGTTGCTCTGATCTGTTTTATGTACAAATAGTGAAGAACTTGATGCTTATGATTCTGGTCATGGAAAAAGGATCGATTGATTGGATCTTGGTCCAAGTTAGAATCTTAGATCGCATTCAGTTTAGGATAACCATGACAAGGGTCTTCAATAGAATCTACAGATTGTCCCATCAACAATCCATTTTTGCTTTAATCATTTGACAATTACCTGGCTGTTTTCCTTCCCTCTTACTTTCAGGAAAGTTACTGAAAACTTGCTGCAATGCACTTTAATTCAATCACAAAATAGGATATAGCACACTTTTTTCCTTTGTAAGCAATCAAGCTCAGTTTTTCCATGCATGTACTGCATTATTTGTAATTTTTATGTTTCATCATCATCATCTTCTACACTTCTCTAGAGCCTCCTGTTTCGGATACCATTTAAGGAGTAGGTGAACAATATGTGAATATTTTTGTATGATAGACTAGTTTGATGACTGCATTCTGTCAGCAAGCATCTCTTTCATTGTTTATGACTGGTGTGCTAAATGGGGGAATCCACCAGCTGATGAAACAATGAATCTGCTACTCTGCAGCTGCACAAGTAATAATGTCCAGGGTAGGTAATATGTATAGTGACACATTTATGAAGCACTAAACTGTATAACATATTCAACTAAGTGGTGAAGACAGAATTTAATCTCAAGACTTTATTTTCTGTAGTTAAACTTTATCATATTAAGAGGATCTAATATATTACTACTAAATTAATGTTTTAAATATAAATTTATCATATTTTGGAATCATCCTAAATCCTAGTAAGAGTATCCAAATTTGATTTAAGCATGTTGAGAAACTCTTTTTAGAATCATTCTTAACCCAGAAGTTGGAAAGAGCTTTTAGGTCAAGATTGCATTGGTTTGTGTTTGAATTCTTCATTGAAATGCTGGGGATTACTGACTCTTGAAGAGGACATGACACCTTGCAGTTCCCAAAGGAAACTAGAAAAGAGTATCCTCACCTGAGCTAAGTGACACCAGACATCAACTTTCCAACACTTTGCTGATCCAAAGTCTCTTTCTATAGTCACAATCTGTCTTTGCATCTTTTCTTCCTCTTCCTCCAAACATGTCTTCTTTTTATTGAGGGAGAAGTCAACTGAAACCTACTCTCCTTGGCATATAAAGAAGGGTGCTGAGGTAGAACCTATCTCAAGGGAAGACACCTACTCAAGCCATGATTTCATTACTACAATGTTGTCATTGAGCACTCCAAGCTGGTCATCATCATCCATCCCCAATTGTCTCACCTCATTTGAGAAACTTTTGATTTGTTGAATGCATTGGCCACTTTATGTACTACCAATTATATTTGTTTTCCTTATAAATTAGTTCAAATGAATGCTCTTAAAATTTTATCAAAATTAATAGTTGAAATGTTAAATTATTTTTTATTAAGGTATAATCTGATGAGATAACTAACTCATATCTTGATAAACCTATATTACTAATCGAAATTACCTTAATCCAAGTTAATAATAATAAATCCATCTAACAATATACATATATATAAACAAACTAGAAGCTTTTATCATCTTTTTGAAGCTAGATCAGGATACCACAATCTCTCTAACTTGACTTGAGATTTAGATGTCCTAGATATTACAAACTTAAAATTTATCATCTTCGCCTAGAATCATATTCTTATATGATGCACATACCATGTTACTTATGATATCACGCTATATGTCTATCTAATACTAGGTTTGCTTTCATCTCTACAAAAGAGGGACATGTCGGATGTAACATTATCACGTGGGCTACACATCATTGATGGGTCAATTGTCAAAGAACACAAGGATTACACGTGACCAACAGGAAATGGTTGGATCGTGAGACACGTACTTATCATGAAGTGATATGAGATCGAATGACCGACCGTCCAAACTCATGATTGGTGCGATTAGCCTAGGCATAAATTGAACTCAATAATTGACTTGATTGTCAAATGATCATTAATCAGGAATGCTTTATGCTTAGTTTTATAAGTTCGACACTCTTAGATTGAGACTAACTTAAAATGAATTTCAATTGGATCCGAATTACTATCCCAACTCAAACGATCGATAACAGATCACATCAATACCCTCGATATATTGATCTTTCAACTTTTTGTTGTTATGAGTTTTTTCTTCGAAGTCTATGTGAAAACAAGACGTAAAGATTTTTTCTGAAATCTTATCTTTTTATGAGTAATATATTACAAGTAAATAGCATAGATTAAATATATGATTTTTTATCGATGCAAATGATGGTAAAAAAATCCTGAGTAATTCATGTTATTATTATAATTATAATATATATGAAATATTTATATAAGAATAAATAATAATAATAATAATAATAATAATAATAATAATAATAATATTCTCTTTTTCAAAGCATATATACAAGTATATATTATTCCAAAAATGGCACCACTTTTTTTTTAAAAATAATTTGAAAAGAAAGGGGGTAATAAAATTGATGACAATTTGGCCCTAAAACTATCATATCAATTTAGCATACCAAAAGTGAAAATTACACATTAATGAAGTCAATAAATTCAAAACAAACTCCGTCTACATAATTAGCAACTTCCAAAATGTGTCACGTTTTCAAAATTTACCAAATTACCCTTCTACTTGTCAGCTATTTAATCTCCGTCCCTTCGCCACCATCCTCGGAGCGCGGCCTCTCCACTCCGCCACATTCCTCTCTTTTCGCTGCCACCGGCGCGAGATCTCGAGCTAGAGTTGGCGTTTCCGTTAACGAGAAGTGGCATGGGCGGTTGAAGGGGGTGTATCGTGAGGAGGATCGGGTTTGATTTCTGTGTCTCTCCCCTCTCGATCCTTTGTCCTCTGTAAATTTTGTCGCCCGGTGTAGAAATCGGACCTTCTGTGCTCAAAATCGGATTTTGACTCACGTATCGTCGAGTTCACGGCTCTGGGATGGTGGAAAATGGGTTTTTGTTGCTCGTCGAGATTGGGTTGGGATCAAGAGCCGGCGGTTTCGTCGCCTGTTGGCTGATCTTGGGTGGAACCGACCGATCCCGCAGTTCTTGAGGTCGATTTGATCTTCGTTGGAAGATAGGGTGGTTCTTCGATCTTTCTGCAGCTGCGATGCGATGGTGAACGGTACTTTTAGCAGGAGTGCTTCGGCTAGACTTACGCCTCGGAGTGTGGGCAGTCCTAGGGTTTCGGCTCATCGGAAATGGTGGGTGGCGCCAGGGCCATCCTTCAGCTTCCTGGCAGTGATCTTCTGTTTGGCCTCGGTGCTACTTGTTGTTGGATGTGTTATTTATCTCTATGCTTTCCGATACCCCAGTCGTGGGAGGTTGGTTGCAGGGTTCTATGATGAGTCCGATGTCTGTGATGTCTTTGACGGTAGCTGGGTTCCAGATAGCTCATATCCGCTGTACAATGGCACGGAATGCCCATTTGCCGAGAGGGGGTTCAATTGCTTGGCAAATGGGAGACAAGATAAAAACTATCTCAAGTGGAGGTGGAAGCCTCGACACTGTGATATTCCCAAGTTTGACGTACATGAAATCTTGCGACGGCTTAGAGGGAAGCGAGTTGTCTTTGTGGGTGATTCGATGAGTCGCACACAGTGGGAGTCTCTCATATGCATGCTTATGACCGGGGTGCAGGATCCCAAAACTGTTTATGAAGTGAATGGAAATAAGATCTCGAAAACAATTCGATTCTTGGGTGTTAAGTTCCAAACATTCAACCTGAGTGTAGAGTTCTTCCGTTCAGTGTTCCTAGTGCAGCAGGGCTTGCCACCGACAAATGGACCGAGGAGGATCCATATGACACTCAAACTGGACAAGATGGACGAGATTAATCAGAGGTGGATTGATTCAGATGTTCTGATCTTCAACTCAGGTCATTGGTGGACTCCAAGTAAACTATTTGATGTGTAAGTTTTTGCATTTGGCTCTTAGGTTTTTCCCCTAGTTTCCTTAATGTTTTTTAAAAGCTCAATCATAGTAGTCTCCTGTTGGAGATGATCTTGTATTTTATTTGAAAATTTGTTCTATAAATCTCTTTGTAAAGAACTCAGGATGAAGTCTTTGTCTTATACATCCCAAATGACAAGCAGTGTAGGACAAGAATCATTCTAAATGGAGATAGGTCTATGGACTCAACATTCTTCAATGGCTCTGTGAAGAGTTTCAACTATATGAAACAAGTCGGGAGGAAAAATTCCTGACTGAAAAGCCACTCGATGAACACAGCCTGAGCATCAAGAAGCCTATAACACTTGGGGCCTAGAATCAGTAGATGAAAGCAGGTCATGTAGTTGCCGACTTGCTACAGATTGGAACAAATATGTTAAATTGCAGATGTTACCAAGTATCTTACTGATCTATCTTTCTGAGAAATATGTCATCCTATCATAACTCGTAGAAGAAATTTTTTCAGGAGAGAAAAACTTGTGAAGGGATTACCATCGTTAAGAGTGTACAGTATGTCAACTTCTTAATCAAAAATCTAATTTTCAACTAGTAGAGTGAGCAGTGTGTAAAGCCACTTGCATGAAGAGTCCACCATCATTCAACATTGTATGAGAACCCTTTGTATTTTAAAAATGAGATTTAGTGAGGAACACTTTGAACTGATTTACTAATTTTTTTTATATTGTGATAGTGGTAGAAAGCTGATGGGTTTGAGGTGTTGAAAGGCAATAGAAGTCCCCTTCCAGGATGATGATGTATTATGGTGCAAAATAAGTTCTTTAGCTTATAATTGTGTGAATCGTAGGACGTAGATAAGAGTGAAAAGAATGGGAGACTCTGCAAGGTTGGGTGATGAACAGTTGCATGCATGTCATTGAAGTATACTAGAACATATTAAGTACTGGACTCTCGCCCTCAACAGCTATTAATCTGAAAAATAACGCCTCAGATTCCTACTAGGATCAAAATAAAATTTGAATATATGTGCATCCCAAGCAGCAATAATGAATGTAGACTATTTCCCACTTTTAATTCCCATCAAGAGCCAAAGGCACTTGTGATAGAAGTCCTAATGAGCCTTCTTTTCTTATTACCTAACATAATGCATTTACAGTTTTGGTTACTTGAAATTAATTTAATGAGAAAGAATATCAACAGCCTTAAAACCATCATATCATGACCCAAAGCCCAAGATTTTTTTGTCATTAGATCCTGACCAAGCTCATGAGGATTCTGCCAATATAAAGCAGCCAGATTTTGTAGATGGAATAAGTCATGCTAAAGTCACCTTCAGAGCATGAACTTCTGTTCTTGCTAGGTTCTCAGCTGACAATTTAGTTGGATAGGACCCGAATCACTTGCTATTCCAGTAGTTTCATACTTGTACTGTGAACCATTTTGGTTTTATTAATATGTCCTGAAGCTATGGTCTAGCTCTGTTGTTATAATCTTCAAAGCCTGCAGAAGAGATAACAATCATCGTTTGTCCTGAGAAGAACAACATGATGTTGAAATGTTGATAGCTTCAAGAGTGATCTGAAGATTAACATATCAGGCATATTAGTTTTCAACAATCTCAAGCTATATTATTTATCATTTTATATGCAACTTTGCAATCAGAACTTAAGATATTTAAGTAGTTTTCACTAAAAACAAATCCTAAATGATCTGCTCTGCAGGGGTTGTTATTTCCAGGTTGGAGGAGTATTGAAGCTCGGAAAGTCCATCAGTTCTGCCTTCAGGATGGCCTTGGACACCTGGGCAACATGGGTTGAAACAATGGTTAACACAAACAGAACTCATGTGTTCTTCCGAACATTCGAACCTTCCCACTGGAGGTATTTATTTCGTACCAATATGTTGAACTTCTAATTGGAGAGGTGTTAGTTATTCCTAGTTTTAAAATTTTAGATTGTATACTTTACTGGTTTACAAGTGGCATTTTCTGAACTAAACTAAATTAGGTAAATATGACATCTAAGTACCTTTAATATTTCATTTGTTACACCTTTTGTGTAGACAGATCTTTTACAGCCTGAATTTTATTTTAGCTCATATTACTTACATTGTTCTCATTGCCCCCATAGCTACTACATTTTCAAGAATACAATGATATAGACCATAGGTTTCTGTAATAACCAAGTTGGATGTGGATCACCTGATCAATAGTTGTCTCGGTCAAAGCCAATCCAATTTCGACCAATCTTTCAACTTTATAAACAGATTGATTGGAATTTGTCAGAATCAGATTATAAACTGATCAGGCTTGGTTAGAGTTGGCAAATTTCAATCAGTTCCGGAAAAATATTCAACCTCAAACAAAAGAAGAGATAGAAGGTTGACTGCTGCAACTGGTGGCAGCCTTTAAAGAAGAATGAAAAGAAGATGAAAGCAGAGGAAGACTAGGAATTGTGAGAAAAAAATATGAATATTATTGTGAAGCAGAGGATGTGGCATCTTTGTTTAGCAATTGCCACCATTGCATTTGTCACTATTTCAATGGTCGTCATCCAACAATGTGTGAATAGAGAGGTAGGAGTACAGGCAAATAGAAGTGAAATAGTAGTTCTTAGCTGAATACATATGTTATGACAAGGAAGAGAGATATTATGGCATTTGAGATCTCGATCTCATCGATCTGATCCAACCATTCTCATTCATCGTGATTTTGTTCCAACCAATTTTGCTGTTCCTGATTTTGTTGCCCCCAGTCTGTCTGGATCACAGTCTCAATCCTAATCTTGCTAACCGTGATATTGATAGAAAGGCCACCTAGAATTCAATATGATCTTTTTTTAGTATAAATTCATCCATTGCTTAGACTTGATTTATTATTTCATATCTGTCTCGATTTTCATTTGAAAGGGTCAATTTAGACTGAATGTTATCTAAGAGTTATTGAGGTGTCTAATCCGGGGTCTTTGTTTTCTTCAAGGTTATACTAGAAATATAACTTGTTCACGTTGCTTATGCTCTCCTATCTTTTAGAGTCCTGGATGAACACCTGCTGGTTGTAAATAAAGTTTCCAGCTTTTCTATATCATCCCTTTTCGTTGTGTGTTGTCCTTTACTCTTTTATCTGAGTTCCTTCTAGAAACTAAATCTGACTAGAAGATGGATGAATGCATCCCTGATCTAGGCTACATTTGGCTACCAGAACAGAATTAGATGGGTTTGTAGTCTAAATTAGAAATAAGTGTCTTGGTTCTGTTTAGATATCTAAGCATGCTAATTGAATTAGAAAATTTTCACTTTTATTGAACTGGTTATTTGACCGCAAAGAACTCTTACTGAAGTGCTCTGATCTTTTGGTAGCCAGTTTTTCTATTATTATTTTTTATTTTATATGCCGTAGGCAGAGAGAAGAAAAAGAAAACAAATTATCTTCTATCCTATTTCAACAGAAACCATCCTAACAGTGGTCTTGATGGATGCTTACCCTGTTGGAGGGTTAACTTCTTAACAAGGTTACATCATATGAACATATATGAGAATTTCATTTCAAGATGTGTTTTTCTATGTAAAGTAGATATTAGTGCACCAAAACTAAGTCTATATGGAAACTTTTGCACTATATTAGACCCGATTCTCACAATCATTCCACATTGACCAATTCTGGACTGTTGAAATGCCAAGGCAATGTGATAATCTTTCTCTTACCCTGTAATTCAATCAGCAGTTGTGCACACAACTGTGAACGAGTCGTTGTTCTGGTATCCTCAGAGTGAGAGTAATGGGTCTACCTAGTATGGAAAACAAGCTAGCTAAGATACTCACATGTGAAGGCAGGTTCATCGAATAATTGAGATTCTTCTAAAGCTATCACTTGGAATCTAAATTGTTCCTAATATTCATCGACTTAAAAGTGTCGAGCGATATTCTTACAGTTTTAAGAGACAACCACTTTGCTACGAAGAGTTAGTGCTGATGCCTGCATCTGTCAACTAATTAGGCTTATAAGATGTTTCTCTGTGTCTTCGGACATCCATGTAAGAGGAAATCATGTGGGTTGGCAGAATTGGTTACTTTTGTTGATTTGCCGCACACATTCTTTTTATGTCACTGTCCAATGCAAGACACATTCTGTGCTCATGTTTGACCTGCTTGCCACTTGGTTAATTTTCATTTGTTCTGTTAAAAGTATAGGATTAACTCCTCGTAACATTACTTGTATGGATTATGGTGTTTCAGTGGCTTAAACCAAAAGGCCTGTGAGGTAACCGAGCAACCTCTCGCCGTGGCCAAAGCTAATGACAGGAGTGAGTTTGCTGATATATTAGCTGAGGTAGTTGCAAATATGACAGTTCCTGTTACCGTCCTCAATGTAACATTAATGGGTGCGTCTAGGAGCGACGCCCACATCGGCACTTGGAGCCACCCATCTTCCATTCTTGATTGCAGCCACTGGTGTCTTCCTGGAGTCCCCGATGCTTGGAACGAGCTTGTATTCTCTTATCTTCTGACGAATGGTGAGTCTCCGTTATTGTCTCCACTATGCAGTACACTTGCAGCCACAAAGCTTGCATTAATACTTCCCAATTCATCTCCAGATAAGGAAACAAAGCAATTGAACATATTAGAACATACTAATGTGAGTAGTGAATCTTAATTTCCATGTCATGCATAACGAGACATCCCTTTTCCTCTCTGCAGGGTGGAAACAGATAGGTAGATGACACTGAGGAATGATGGCCTTTTATTTTTCACATATTATAGATTCTTTCTGGTTTCTCCTCACAGGGGATGCTGAAAGGGGAAGAGTTGTCTCTAACACAGACGCATTTTGTTAGGGGAAATCAGTTCACATCCATTCTTTTGAATAATTCTTTGTCTTTTTTGGTCCTGTGACGAGCTTTTGGAGTAACACCAAGCCGTAGAATCTTATATTTCTTTTTGATTTGTTTTTGTTCCTTTTTGAACCTCAGTAATTGCAGAAATGAATGTAATGATGACATGGTTAACATTTACAAATGAAAATATCAATTTTGTTTTTTTTTTTTTTATGCTAGAGATATATATGTCTGATAAATTGTGGGTTTGGAGGTCAGTGGTTGGTTGCATTGCGTGATTCATTTTCCAAAATTTAAGTTTCTGATGTATATTTATACCTTAATGGATGTTTACCTTTTACAAATCCTTGCTATGAAATTAAGTAGTGATAGTCCAAAGTTCATCCTTGAATTCCAGAGATAATCCGACCTGGTCCTGATCTGAATCTCAAATCTTGAGGTAAGACGGAGACGAATCTCGTGTTTTCAAGGTAAATTATAGGGAGAAGAGAAAGATCCCCATGTTATATTTGTTGGAATGATACTTGTTTATAATTTGGATTATGGTGAGAAGAGAGATCCTCAACTCATGGTCGGAATGATACTACTTATTTATAAGTCGGATCTCAAACTGTATCATTCTTGATATGAAGGATATTTTGGGTCACCATTTGTAATGACATGACAGATTTAATCAGCTTGTAATTCTATGGTGACAAATATTGAGCATAAATAGGTGTTAAGCATGAGATTGCATCCAGTTTCATCATGTTCGATCTGTTCTTCCTTGCACATATTGTAACTGCTGCAATAAATAGAGTTACCAACCTGATCCATGGGAAGTTGCCAGTCTGTGTCCAAAGTCTTCATGGTTTCTCCTGTGCATGTCCAGAGAAGAAGGAAATCTCTCAGCAGCTCATAAACTTCATCACCAACATCTACTGAAGACTGAGCTGAACTACTCCATGAAGTGCACTGTTTTCTCTTTTCTGTCAGAGTTTGGTCAAGATAAAATTATTGTTGGTCCACTAACAGTTTAACTCTCTCTCTCTCTCTCTCTCTCTCTCTCTCTCTCTCTCTCTCTCTCTCTCTCTCTCTCTCTCTGAAACTTTCTTGCAATAAATTAGGAACATTGCATCAATTCTTCCAAGTCAGCAAGCTTCAAGCTCCTGATAGAAAAATGTCACTCTTCAACACTAATCTTTCACTGCCAATATCTGCAATCTTTTAATCTAATTTACATGTTAAATGTTTTCAAAGTGAAATTATTAAGCAAAAATCTTTGTACATTTATATAAAGGATATGACTACTTCCAAATACAAATTACACTTTATGTGAAACTTAGAGTAGTCATGTTATTGGGAACTTATCCATCCCTGATCAAGTTATTGGAATCTCATCATTGATTACATAAATACCTCTAATTAAATAAATAATTTATTAAAATTCTTTTAGGGTTTTCATTATCTCTCTTTAGATCACTACTCATAATTATCAGTAATTAATGAAGATTTTTTTCTATAATTTACTAGCATTAGCACCTAATTGATCATAAATAAATAAATTAGTCGACCCTAACAATAATCCGAATTCTAGTTTCGAATATCAAAAATTAAAATCGATTCGGATCGAAATCATCAAATCATTACTTGCTTCACTTTTGATTTTTATTCGAGTCATACTCGAATTAAACATTATCACAAATCGAAACTTGCAAATTCATTTTTCTATTTCAATTTGATTCAGATTCAGATTAAAATTAAAATTAAACGCTAAACCGTGATGAGGACTATCATCACCTCTAAATCCAAAGTACACACAGAGTATACTGATGTATCACTGCATAAAGTCCACCTGATCCTCACGTGCCATTCATGTGTCTTCACGTACTACTGCTGCTGCATGTACACCATCGGTCATTACCGATAAGTACACTGATACATCAGTGAGTAACATTCACTTGTCACTCATGTGGGCAATCTGAGCACTCTCATGGAATCATGCATGCATGCCATGCCGTGCCGTGCCATGTAAAAGAGGCCAACTCAAACAGCCGGAGATGATAAGCTAACAGTAGAGAAGACAGTGGTGACGGAATGTTTGGGTTCACGAGGCCATGCAGATGCAGGTGGGATGGCTACAGCCAGGAGGGCTCGCCACCCGTGGAGTTCGCCATTGTACGTGACTCTCTCTCTCTCTCTCTCTCTCTCTCTCTCTCTCTCTGCTGCTTCCTTCTCTTTTTATATTTGGTAGCTTTCTTTGATTTCAGCAGAGGGGGAAGACAGATCTCGGGAGGATCCGATTACAGATGGAAATAATTTATTGCATGATTGGCTGTGGCTGATCTGAATTTAATGTTCTGCAACTTGTTTCGTCACTGTCATTCTGCATCCCTCTCTCTCTCTCTTTATCTATCTATCTATCTATCTATCTATCTGTCTGTCTTTTTGTTTGTGTGAGTGCGTGCATGGATGCATTAGAAAAGAGATCATACATGAAGTACATTGAGAAAGATGCTTGCAAAGTTGTATAGACATTAAGATTACATGTTAAATACAAATGTTATGTAGAAATAGAATCTCATGCTATATGTGCTAAATTACTTTGCAGGAATAAGTTTGAAGCTAAATTATATTACGACAACGATAAATCGTAATATTTCAATTATTTTGGGATGAATATATGGTTCTTTTATCACTATTCAATTTAGTAAAATATTATCATACCTTTATTTAATTCAAGAATACTTATATCCATCTTATTTTCTTAAAAACTCCACACATCCATCCGTATATTGTTTCGAGTCAACAACACCCGAATCGATAAAAGGGTATTTGGTAATCATACAAAATCGATTTAACGTACCTAAAAGTTCTTTTAGGAATTTTAATTTTTTTTGTTCGACTATGAGAATATTGAATTATGCATAACGAAGATGAAATAGTTTCTTTAAAGAAAGAATTCACTGTATGATGAGCGCAGAAATAGAGAGAGAATTAATACATAGATTGTACATATAATCAGATTTTAGTCTTCAAAGATGAATGTAAATCATTTCATTAGAGATGAAATGATTTGTGGAACAGAAAAAGGATTACAGATGGAGGATATTCTATTGATATTCATGTGTATGCATGCAATCACACTCATAGGACAATTATATGTAGTCATATCCATCATATAACATCAATATCATCAGATATAAAGATGGTGTCTCAAGTACCTATGCAAATTGACTTGTAGTGGGAAGACAAAAGATGATTGATTTGATTCTGAGTCACTACGATTCCCATGTTTCTGATGTGTATGTGACCCATACTTGTAAGTCATATATAGTTTTATTCAAAAGGTTATACACATATATATTATATCTCATGTTCGATGTATGCTTTTGATGTGTTCTCTTTTTATCCTTTTTCTTTCTTATATGTTGGGATAAACTCATCACCTTCTTCTTTCCCACCGAAGAAACTCTCCCCAACTGACTTGCAACATAGCAATCATGAGTTGTAACATCAAACGATTCATATGATAATGTGCATATATATATATATATATTCTTCTTATATGATGTATAGCACATGAAAGGAATCGTACACACTTACGTGAGCCAAAGGAAAGCTGTGTCATGATAAAAGGCCATGGAGTCAACCAAATTGTAGCAAGATGGTATCTATCGTATGATCAACACACATGATATGATCGATTAGCCAAATAGTAGGGGGGTTGTATGTACACCGACGACACTTATGTGTTATGCTTTAGATCCTTTTAGCTACACCATCAAATGGGATATTTATGCGCTATGCTTAGCTATGAATCACCTGTTGAAGCTCAGTGCATTGGCTCGAGGCCAAACCCTAATGCGGGAGGAGCTGCCATGGCGGAGGAGGAAGAGGAGGAGGAGGAGGCGGCGGCGGCGGCGGGTGCTGCAGCTTGTGGCTGGGCTGGGGTGGGCTGCAGCTCCTGCACCTGTCTCTTGAGGAACTTGACGTAGCGGATGGCCTCGTCGAGCATGGAGGCGGTGTCCATCTTGGTGCCGCCGGGGACGAGGCGCTGCAGGATGCGGATCCGCTCGCTGATGCGCTCCCGCCGGTGCCGCGCCGCTACGCTCTGCGGGTCGTCGCTGATCCGCACGTTGCGCCGCCGAGGCTTCTTGATGGTGGAGGGGTCGATGTCCACCGGCTGCATGGCCGCCATCCTGTACATCATCTCCTTCATGGCCCCTAAAGCTTCTTCCTCCGCCTCTTCTCCTTCCACCTCTCTCTGTGCGCTCATGTGGGTGCCTGGGAAGGTCGGCGAATGGACATGCGCAAGGAATGGGTCTGTGGGCTGAAACAACTCGGAGGGGATGTGATCCGAAAGAAACTGATTCCCCATGCTCATCTCAAGATCCCAAGAGCTACTACTGTTGTTGCTGGTGTTATCCATAAAGAGAAGCTATTGGTATGGGCCTTCTGCAAAGAGAGAGAGAGAGAGTGTGTGTGTGTTTGCTGATGATCCGAGAGCCCTAACAAAGAAGAGGTTATATAAGCCAAAAGAGGTCGACCAAAGAGATGACGGTGGTAATTGGGTGGAAGTTAAGGTTAGGGGAAGAGAGAGGGGGAGAGGGATGATCACACTCAAGACTTATGACATGTTTGGCTTGCTGAATTGGGTCCGGTGAGGACAATAAAATAATGGGGTGGGAGAGAGAAAGTTAGAGAAGGCACCAAATGATCAACCCTACAGCTGTGCTCCTCGTGAAGCATTGCAGGCTTTTACACATCCCTAGAGTTCCTCTCTCTCTCTCTCTCTCTCTCT